GCAATTGCATAGACACTGTATCCTACAGATACTGCAACTCTCTGTATATGAATTAACCATTTCAGCTATTGTCTCTCATTGTGAAACGTCAGACGAATAACATTCTTGTCCCAACGAGCAGAGCTACTACTTTTCTAAAGTTTTACTCCCGGTAAGTATCAGTTTTAGTGAAGAACTGTCAGTGTTTACATCCACTCTTGCAAAATGAGCTTCCTAAGAACCCTACTGCATTACGTTGTACGTCGGCCGGAAAGTCATATATTTCGAAATTTTATAGGAATGAATATTAAGAGGCTTTTTTAAAAGGCAATAAGTCGAGAGCATTTATCAGTTAAGTTGAAAATGGCCAATACAAGCGAATATGCGAGTCCCAGGAAGTAATTAAGAAGAAGACGACTCGATCGCTGTGAATTTCGGCCTCATCAAATTTGAATGTGTGGCCATCTGAAGGTGCGGCTCATTCAACGAGACCCGGCCACACATTCAAATTTGATGAGGCCAAGATCCTCGCAAGAGATGAAAATTGGGTGAGCCGAGAACTACTTGAGTCATGATTAACGGGCCCCCAATCCATAACCAAATGCAACGATTTGCCCAATCCATATTCGGTGCTGAGAATCACTGTGGCCAAAGCCAGTCGCCACTTGGGGAACGGACAGGCCACCGCGTCGTCCCATGTAAACAACCGAGGGTCAGATGGCTGAGCAATCATTACGCCCGAGTCCACCGCCCGTGATGAAAGTTCAACAGGTCAAAGCCCGCGTGCCGTTCAACAAACCACCCACGCACAAGAAGGCAATTAACGTTAATTGTCGCTGTATGTTTGCAGTAATGACTGTATTTTATAAATACTGCAAACTCCTGTGCATGCATTACTCGTTTCTGCTACTGTTTTCCGCTAATGTCTCTGATGATGAATCTGCGACAAATGTCGGAACGTCAGGCGAATAAACGTATTTTTACAGTGATCGAGTCGTCTTATTCCCTAAGTTGACAATTGCGACAGCAATCAGCTGAACCTTAGAATATTCTTTCAAGAGTGATCTGAGGAAAGGTCAATTAAAGGTTTGTCTGAGGAAGTCGTCAATAAATGCGAGCAGAAGCGCAGAACCAATCAGTTGCGAGGATACTTTCTTAACTTTAAACGAAAAAATAACCTGATGCATGCCCGATGGATTTCAAACATCAGGCGAATAAAATTCCTAGTTTTCCTTCTTCCTGCCAATTACTTGCCACGACTCATTTGTTCGCTTGGATTGGCAGTATAACCTTAGCCTTTCTGTGGTTTTACAAACAGAATAGGGTCAAAAAGTGCATCTTAAATTTGCCGCGCTGAAGAGGTATTGGACCACGAGGTCACTAAATTCGCGGCCCTAATTAAGTCTGCAGCGTGCAGTGGTTTGTACTTCTGCATCGTTCTCATCCACCCAACCAACCATATTGCACATAACAAATACGCTGTCTCTTTCGTCATTCAACTATCTTAGCCAGCAGACAAGTGGTCGCTTTGTTAACTGTTTCCTTAACACATATCCTTTTCCTTCCGGTTCCTTTTCAGACGCGCTGATCATCATGAGCAAAGTTCGCGCATGCAAATACTGTTTATTTATTGTTGGTGTCGTAGGAATTCAATTTGTCCTTCTGCAATTATATTATTACTCTTCGAACCCAATCCTGCCACTTGTACAAGGATATTTGTTTGATGCTTCAAACATCTCCCCATACAGCGCAGCTGTCAACACCAGCCCGTCACCTTACACTATCAAATTGAGTGAAGTGAACATTGAATTGCTCCGGGAGTTATCCCTGCCGGCGTGGAATAATGCGAGCGAGACGGTGGCCATCATTGTGCCCTACAGAGGACGACTGAAGCACTTGTTCAATTTCCTAACTCATATGCTGCCCTTCCTGGGCAAGCAGAGGAAACAGTTTGTCATAATCGTCACGGAGCAGGCGGGTGAGGAGTCATTTAATCGCGCCAAACTCTTCAATGTGGCTATCAAGGAGATAAGGATGAGTGAACCCGGTGACCGATTGTATGGAATAGAGTGTTTCATCCTCCACGATGTCGATAAAATACCCTCTTCTCCGTCTGTTCTCTACGAATGTGGGCAGAACGTTCGTCAATTGGTGACTGCATTTCGATCTGGAGCTTACATAAACCGGTAAGACACCTGTTTTCCTGGGTTCAACAAATGGTCAGCGAGGACATATGTTATAAAACACTTGAATAGTAGCATAACATATTCAAGCTCAGTCATGCAACTTCAAGGAAGATAATGAGGTAATTAAGTGCAGGAAGACGCAAAATTGTCCTTTTTGTAGCGGACCATTTTTGTTAATGATTTATTCCAATCAAATATTGATAACTTTGAACAGAAATCCACTTACTCGCGTATTCGTATGCGTGATGATGATAATTGCTCTCTCAGTTTTTTGCACAGACGAGTCATCATCATCATCATCATCATCATCATCATCATTATCCTCCTCCTCATGATCTTCGTCAACATTTTGTTCTTGTACGACATAACAGGTGAGAAGCAGTTTTTAGAAAAACATGACACTTATTTGAAAGCCAGAAATTCTACAAATTTCGGAAATTAATTTGTGTCCACATTTGACATGGAGTTCTCAAGTACCATGCCAAAGCGTCCTAATGTGTGCAAATACGCTGCAAAACAGGGACAAAGTAACGAGCATCGAATGACTGTTTCATAATCTTAAATCTTTCAAACAAATCCTGTTGTTCACCTATCTAATAGTTCCGCATTTCTTTCAGTCCGTAATACTTTCCTTGCGTTTTCAGTTAACATAAAGTCTTTCATCACTACATTGAGGTTTTTATCAAGGCTTTTGCAATGGTTACGAAATGTTTCATAGGGTTTCCTATAACAAACTTTAACCAATTGAAGTGTGGCAAGGGAAGTGTAGCTTCATTGCCCGAGAACTGTTTGGTTTTCTAGGAAAAGGGCAAAACATGAAGCAAAATTTGAGATAACATCGAAAGAACGTATTTCGGAAAGAATTCCTAGACTCAAAAGCCGTATCAGGTAATGAAACATGTGCTTGTCCATGTGACTGTCCACTCCACGTAAAACATTATTAAACGAAAATTTACGTACAAATAATAAATGTAAGAGCCCCCACAGGACAAGGAGGTAGGCCAATTTTCTTGCTATTCCGACTTAAACCAATACAATTTTGACAAGGAAAGTGCGGATTCATTGCCATAGGACAACTTTTATTTCTATAGAGAAGCGATAATTTGAAATAAACTATGAGTTAGCACTGAGAGGGCGTAATATGAAATGCTTTCTTATATCTAAATTTCGTTAGGGTTAGGGAAGCATACTATGGCCATTTGAAAGGCCGCTCCTCAATTTCCAACAATTTGAAGCGTGAGACTACGAAAATGTGCTATATAAGGAAAGCATTTAGCTATCTTTGTGAAGGTTTTAAGCGTAAATATGGAATTTTGTCGACGTTCTGCGCTCTGACTTTCATGAGATCAAAATAAGAAAATGACTGTCAGAAATGGAGATACACCTGCCATGACATTTAAAGCTTCCACCGTAGGCGCCAGAATTCGTGCAACATGCCAACATATGCGAAAGACTGATACTCTTTCGCTAATCAGCATTAACTGAGGTTGTGATACTGATTATCATGTAGTCTATTCTGAAGTTATTTCAATCACGATATGATGTGGGCTTTTTAACGAGCTTCGTTCTGACCACTAACAAAACGCAAGTACTGTGCAAAGTAAGTACTTAAACAGTATGCGTTTTTATCATTGATTTTGACTGCCTTTATACATTCAAATACATTCTATGGAAAGGGTATCCTCGGGGTTTACACAAAATTATAATTATGAGCTTTTTTACGATAGTGAGGTGTCCATTCACAATTCATCGTTTACGCTAATTTATTAATGCTGATTATACTGTATTAAGAATGAACCACGTCTACTGTAAAATTTTATGAGAACTCTGTGCCTTATTTCTCAAACTGTAGGTGAAAACCTACTTTTCCTTAAACAGTCTGCCCACAGTGCGCAGTTTTTAAATCTTGAATTCGAGTGTATTAGTCAGCATTTTTCAAAATAATTCGGCAATTGATAAGCTTTTTTAAAAACAAAATATGCGCTTTTTTTAAGTATAACATTTAAAGAAGGCGTACTAGGCTACAAAACGATTAAAGTAAATATTGTTTTCGTGCATGCTTGCCATAAAATATATTTGATTTTATAAAAGGCAGTCAAAATGAATTCTATTTTAGTAGTTACTTTGTACAGTACATACAGTTTGTTAGCGGTCAGAACGAAGCTCGCAAAACGTCCGCATCCTGCGATGACTGAAATAACTTCAGAATAGACTACACAATAATCAGTATGACAACCCGGGTCAATGTCGATTAGCTGAAGAATATCAATCGTTCGCATATGTCGGCATGTTGCGCGAATTTTAGCTCGTACTCTATATCTTTGAGTTTTATCCCATTTTCTAATGCCCTTGTAAATCAGTTTAGTGTCGCAGCATGTTCTTTTTTGCATTTGCAGGTTGTACAAGGAATTTTTAGGGGCAGCGACAGCCTTCACGTGGGACCACGTGAGGAAGATGAATGGTGCCTCAAATCTCTTCAGCGGTTGGGGCGGTGAAGATGATGAGCAGTTGGTGCGACTCCAGCTAAACAATATCACGGTCGATCGAGTTCGAGGCCCGGATGGAATTTTTGATGAATTTGACGCAGAACACGCACGAGACCGTAATGCAGACAGACTTAACTTGCTTGCCGCTAGGCATGTCAAAGCACGCTGGAGAAACGATGGCATTAGGCAAACACATTACAAAGTTCTCAGTAGGATTAACTACGACCAATTTGTTTGGCTTCTCGTGGCCATTTGATGTACGAAGCCTTCGCCGCAGCATACAGTTTGGACAAAACGCATGTCGCTAAGACGATTGTGCTCTGAACTGTATATCACCGACAAAGATGTGTTTTTACCGAGTGTGCAGCACTTTGTACTGACATTTAGTCGAGAATGTAATAACATTATAAACTGCAAGCTGCTGCTATTTATCACCTTACATGTCTGAACATGGCAAAGAGGCAGGTAGGTGGCTATGAGATGCTAGGAACTGCTTAGTGAACTGAGTGTAATATTAATGGACGCTTTTCTAATTTCTGCAAATAGTCCCATGCTTAAGTTGATAAGTCAAGTTGGCAAACACATGTTTTCAAAAAATGTTCGCCAGGCCGAAACATGTGCAGGCGTAATGAAAACTGTACAGTTGGGCAGGGTTTATAAGGGTAGTCTGATTAAAATTAATTGTTTACACGTCGCTCGCATGGCAAATTCGGCGCGTCGAGGTTCTTGTGTTGAGGGAGGGGGGGCAATTGGGTTAGGTTGCGGGCGTTGATCAGAGGTCAGATACATAGAGTGATGATTGCAGCTATTTGCACGAAACGAGCGACTGTCACTGGAGGGTGGGGACGAAATGCGATCGCTATCCAGCCTCGGGGTCGGTA